TATATATATATAGCAATTTTTGTTTGCTTTTTTAAATGTTTGGCGGTCAAGTGATATGTACCATTTTCTCTATGCGACCACTGTTCTCGTTTCGCTAAAATCACAAAGTCTTAGCCAAATTCAGATTCGAGGCGTATCTGGTGAAACTATTTTTAGTACTTGATTTAAATCGAAGCTCCGATGGAAAGATTTTGAATAAAAGCGGTTTGTACAAGAATGGCTTTATAGCTGAGTATCCTAATAGTCGTGCTCTGTGGTAGACCTTTTCTACGCTAGCAATTTTGTGCGACAATAGTGGGAAGTGTTCCCTCATTTTTCGAAACTCTGTGTTTTGGCAAAGGAGTCTACTAATTCGTATTTTCCACTTCTAAATAATAACTGTTCCTCGGCTCATTTTGACACCTTACATATGCAATTACGAAAAATAAGCGAAAAGCCTTCAAGGCCGATAAGCTCATCACTTAGTCCCACGTCGGCAACAGCCGTGTCAGACAGTGAGATAAAACGGGTCGGCTGTGTATGCTGTACCGAGATATTAGCATAAAATGGAGAAGCTGGGTACGCCAAAATCTGGTTACAGCAAACTATAACCCTCGCCATCGCTGAAATAGCTCTACACGTCACTGTTCGTTAAAGGGTGAGGATACAATATCGATAATAACGTATACGGTACTAGCGTAGAACGTGGCCTTGAAACCCATAGTGCTGCTGAATTGTCCTTAAGAGATGGAACTATTTAATTGAACTTGAGACGATTGGATTAAGCACCACTAATATTTCTCTGGGTGGATGCCCTTAGATGCCATCCATGCGGCTGAGGTGAATCGCATCAGGTCGGTGATGTTCCGTTTGGAAGATGAGATTTGACATTAGGTGTACTAGAATTGTTGAAATATCTAATAAGACTAAGCTAATGTGTCTCGAAAATATGTGAATTTTCTGCGAAAGTAGCTCTATTTGGCACAGATGCTCAGGCCCAAATGTGCTGCTTCTAGTCTAGGTGGGTTACCAGAAAATTGCAATCGAGGAAATATTTTTTCGTCCATCTTCGAAGCTATAGAACTATTTTTTTTTTAAAGGTTGGTCACGGGTACTACGGGGGAGTAGATCACAAACGACAGTAGCCTGCAAAAAAGACAATCGTGAAAATGCAAGAACGAACTTTACATGTAGTCTGTAGCAAAAGCCGCCATGCCGCTATATGGGAGTAGCCAATAAAAAATATTGGCTAAATGGTTTACAACACACGCTGAAAACGATCGACGGAATTAGGATTTTTTCTACCATGTCGATGCGAGACCACGTATCATCTAACTAAAAAAGAGATTCCGAAGATTTGGACGGATGGGAAATTTTAATATGTTCACTGTACAGTTGGCACGAAGCACACTATTCGTGTTCGTTTCTGCAGAATTCTAAGTAGAACGTAATCCCTATTACTGATGGGGTTACGGCACATCGTGAATAGCCGAATGTCAAATAACATCGATAAGGATGACATTTATCTAGCTTAGTGAGCCTTTATTTATTGTAATGCTACCGAGGTCAAATCGCGTCAGCAATTGGTAGGCGCCGCTACCAGTTGTGCAACATCAGCCCCCTTAACATAGGAAGGAGTCTCCTTGTGCATGACCCATACGACTCATATTAACCGGAGCCTGTACAACAAAGTTCTGTGGCGAACTAAAAGCCGTTCGAAAACCCCAGTTATGGACCCGAACCTTTTTTTCGCTCTACGTCATTCTACGTCACAAACGGTGACGTAGAATGACGCTGCATTATCTGCACAATTCCATTGGCTTTCTACTACCTCGTTTTAGCAATTCGGCCTTTTACATTTACTGCTAGCATTGCTGGTAGCAATGCCACTACTGCATAGTAGCGGTATTAGGTGGTCGGGGAGGAACCATTCGGACTAGGTGATAGCAGCTGAGTGGTAGGTAGTCGCGTATCGACCGATAATTGAATGTATGCTAAGGCCATCTTAATTGGTGCTTCAATTTTGGCTATGATGCAAGAGTATTTCGTTTGTAGCTGTGCAGAAGCATATTGTACGCAGGACCACAAATGATCGTTAAGTTGCGTGTCCTCTGCCCATTTTGAAGTTTGAACCTACAAAATGGCGGTCATTAATTCGAGACCTATAATAAGCGCGCAAAAGGGCTGGACAGCAAAGGAGAGATGTCTCGGGTGAAAGGCGGTAAGCATGAGAGTGATGACTGACTATATGACGCATAGGGCAATTACCGAGATCATTGGTGTTGCTGTGAAACGACCTCGTGGTTGTATCCGCAAGTCGAGAAGTTCAGGCATTGTAGGAAGCACTTGCTAGTCGATCGAATCTATTTTATTTTCATTTATTAATATCTTTCATTAATGCGAAGGCACTAGTATCTAGAAAGCAGTATGTTCTAATGCTCATGTATGATTCATTAGCATACAATCATTATTATTGGCAAATAATGTTTATGCTAATTTTTTCTTTCGACCTGGGTGGGTACCTGTCTCTAGCTAAGGATAATCCAAGTACCCCAAGAACCTCCCTAATTCAAAACAATCGAACGTTACAGCTGAAGCGTAAATTATTTGAATCGGTAACTTCATTTCTCATTACTTGCTTACGCTGAATAACAATATTTTCGTTCCTCTTTAATAATTAATTTAATTTTTCTAGGAGAACGCTTAGGCAATTTATGATAGATCGATGATAGAAAGAACGAACGGGACTGTCGTAACATATTGAGTATCGGCTAATAGCTTCAAGGTGATCAAATAACGGTAGAACTGACATCTGAAGTGTAATGATCGCCGTCATGAGGAACTCCCTGTAGCTTCTTCCCTTCGTACGTATGGATAATTCGTGGCTCTATTGCCGTCTCGAAATTTATACCTACTGTTCGAGAACCCACATTCACTCGACGTAAATGTGGGTTCGCAAAAAGACATAATTTAATTGATACAGCTTCGTGCGTGCCATCGCTATATGCTGCAAATATTTCAAATTAGCTCAAAATTTTTTACCAAGGCTAAATGAGCCGGTTTGTGAGGCTACGATATTAGAGCTAACCGCACGGACTAAAAATAACCAGAGATCTTATAACGACAATCTATGACGGGAAGTGCCGCGTTTTCCGTTCTCCCGACAGAACAAAAGGCTTTTACGCTCGCAAAATTAGCACTTAATTGACAATGGTTGGGGATGGTCCAAGTGCAACATTGCCCAGCTCTTTGTTAAGGGTCGAAGCTGCGAAGGCAAAGATTTAAAATAATAGCACCTAAGCAGTTATTAAAATATTTACCTGGTTTCATTTGCTCTGCGATTACACCTGGTACCCCAGCCGGCTTCGTTTAATTCGCTATAAATGTGTATTCTGAAAAACCCCGGGCTAAGTTCTCTGTCGCTTTATTCTAATAATTGCAAAGTCTACTGCCGAAACTTTCCAAATATCCTGGCTACAACCAGCTTAATCATTAAATAGTGAGTGCGCATATGATCAATGGCTGGTCTAGTCGTTTACTTAGCGTTATTGGATTACAGGGATTGTGCCATTGGTAGGAACGCATCAGTCCTCGGCTCGTCAATGGAGGACATTCCAACCAACAATTGTCTCTCGCCAACGTCGTCGTCGACATCATGGCAAGATACCGTTCAAATAGAGAATCCAGGGACCGATCATACTTCAGTTCAACAAGACAATGGTGGCGCTGGTGCAGAACCGTTTGGGAAAGGATTGGTAGCTGTGTCGATTGAGAGCACGAAGTGCATTCTATGTCTAGCTTCCTTTAAATCAGCTGAGGAATTGCGCGCTCATATTCGGATTGTGCATGCTAGGTCTGCAAGGCACAAACGACGAGTCATCATAAAGGAAAACGTATCGAATAACCCCGATGAGCAGCAGGAATTAAAACCAGAGAGGGCTCCGACTCCGTTAACGAGGTGTGGGCGCAGGTTAAAAAACTTTACGAAAGTAAAAACAAACCCTGCACTGCTATCGACGTTTTTTCAACCCTGTTAAAAAATTATTGATCGTAGTTTAGCATAGAGGCGTGATAAATATACCGGTCAGCTGTACGGGAACGGTGGATTTTCTTTATCGCCTATTATCCGTAGCAGTACATTTTAAAGGATCTCTCACCTTCCTTCGACTTGCCCTATTCTATTTTCTGTCAAATTTGCAGGGAAGGCGCAAAAATTAAGCCGCCGCGTCGTAAGCGCCGAGCACCAGGATTAAGTGGTTCTCATGAATGTTGTCAGTGTCGAAAGCGTTTTCAGCAGCTCGGACATCTCCGCAACCATCTTCGACTTCATACAGGTTAAATAAATAGGCTAATAAGAAAACAAGGCTGACATCACGTGAAGCGTTATCATGTAGGAAACTTTTGCGTTTTAACAAAATACAATAAATGGTCACACTCAGTCCTGGAATAACTGTGGCTCAATTAATATTTTCGGTAATAATAATAATAATGATCAAGAGGAAATTCCTAGAATTTCGAAATAACAATGTATATATAAATATATTTACTCGTATATATACAATAAGGTATCTGATAAATGCGGAAACTGAATCCGTGTTGCATCGTCCAGGGAATTTTTGCCTAAGTTTTTCAGTCCTGCTTAGATTGGCTTTTAACTAACCGCATCATATCATTCCCCACCGTAAATCAATCAAAAAATTATTTGCCTAAATCTAATATTTCGAGTAACCGGTAATACTTTGAGTACAACAGGCAAATGGCGGGCGTCACTGACAAGCAAATTCTGAATCTGCCCGAGCCTGCCTCTGAAATTTACGCCATACCTACCTAGATCACCTCCTTGCAGTGGGTTGCTGCACTAATTAAGGCTTGTACTATGCCATTTTGCTAAGCACAAACCAATCAAGGCCGATTTGAAGTTTAGCGCTCGGTAATGTTTTGTAAAGGTTTACTCCATCCCTTCGAGTTAATGTTAATTAGAAGAACAGTCTTTATATTTGATAATTTTTCTTTGTACATTGTTTTATCGCTGTAGTTGATTCAGAAATGTTAGATTTATAAACACGTAGATGGTTGTTTATCGGTGTTATTTCCTATTCCGATGTTATGTGCAGGAGAACGTCCGTTTGTCTGCGAGATCTGTGGTAAAGCTTTCCCCCAGTCCGGTCACCTTGTCTCACATGTGAATTCCCATACAAACACAAGGCCTTACGAATGCCAATTTTGTAAGAAGAGATTTACTCAAAGTGGGCATTTACGGAATCACGAACGGCTTCATCTAGGTTTGTTAACGCAAGCATTTCTTGATAGTCTCATTTGGTGCCGCTTTACACCGGCGGTCTGCGATCGCATGCTAAGGTGTTAACGAAATGTGTCTACCCAGTAAACCTGACATTTGCACCCCTTCATTTTTTCATCGAAATGATCTCTATGGGCTTGCATGGTACCGGTGGCCATGTCACAAACGCTGTTTTCAACATGCCCAAACTGCCATTAACAATAAGGATACTTTTTCGCAGTCTGTCAACGGTAGGCAGCGTCAGCACCCTTTCAGAAGCATGATTCTCTCATTTTTTTTGCCGGGCGTTGCAAAAATACTTAATTTGCTGTATTCGATACCAGGTATTCGGCCGTACCAGTGTGCTCAATGTGATAAATCCTTTACCCAGTCCGGCCACCTAGTCAATCATTTGCGATTGCACGATGGCGAGAAGCCGTACAGATGCTCTGTGTGCAATCGACGATTCACTCAATCCGGACATTTGGCCAGCCACGCAAAAATGCACAATAGTAGCAGGGGGCATGAGTGCGGCATCTGCCACAAAGGATTTATTCGAGTAAGTTAACTAGTCAAATGTACGACGTAAACGCTTTATCAAAAGGTGCATTTTGTTGTGGAAGGCAAGACCTGCCACGTCTCTGGCCACCAAAACATCTTGCCACTGCAATCTCTTTTTACTCAGATGTCTGTAGAAGTCGACTGCATGTAAGTATGCGTGATTTCTACTGTACGTCAGCGTGACACTGTATATACGCTTTGTCATATCTGTCACGGCATACTAAAGCTACTAACATGTTATATCTATATATATATATATAACATAATAATAACATGCTAAAGTTGATCCTATACTTGCGTATTAAACGATCTACGTGTAGCACGCAAAACCATTGCGTTTGCGTTACACCCATTAGTAGTTAGTTTACTGCTCGATTAGCTCAAGGATATGCTCTAGGATAAATGATTCTCTTGCTAATGCCGCGCCGCAAACTTCGGTTGATCCCTGATGCAAAACTCAACGTAGCACGAAGCGAGCGCGCTTTATAGAGTAATATTATCCTAATATTTTTTTGGACGCGCCGCAAACTTATGAATCTCGGCTGATCCTTGATGTAAAACTCAACGTAGCATGCAGCGAGCACGCTTTGGAGTAATATTATCCTATTTTTTGGTTTAGGCCGAACATTTGATAGAGCACCAGCGGATACACTCCGATCCTCGACCCTTTGTTTGCTCTTATCCAAATTGTGGTGCTCGATTATCGAATGATAGTTTGTTATCGATGCACATACAATTACATCAGCCAGAGGAGGCAAGCACGACATACAAGCGGCATTGTACAAGCAGACCACCAAAGGCGACTGAGACCGTTGTCTCAAAAAGAATTATCCCGTTCTCGGCGCCCAATAACGATTGCAAGAGTCCGCAACGACAGAAACAAGGTGCAGACCAACACGAGGTATCTGGCTTCCTCGACAACGCGAATTTTGGCGGGTCCAACGGACTGGTAAGTAACAGTGATCAGACGTACTGAGGAGGATTTAATGAGTGGGAATTTCAAATAGAACCGCAGTATTCGTACTGCGGTCCTATTCGACTGATTGCAATACGTTCTACAGTTTGTATATGAGGGAAGTCAGCGCACTAAGACTCGATGTTTGTTATACAGTGGAGAAATTGTGTGATAGACCGATTTAATCGAGCCTAAGATGATCATTAATCAACGAATAAGTTCGAAAGCAGAGCCAGTAGGTTATGTTAGCTTTCATTATCTACTTCATGGTACTACATGGTCGTTGGATTGCTGAACGGACGTATTCAGTGATCATCTAAGTAGCTCAAAAGAAAGCAATTTCTTCCATAGTCTACCTTTGACAATGCGGACGAAGCCCGATGATAGCCCTAAAATAAATATCTATACATTGTGATCTAGTCATCAGGAATGGAAGGAGACGTAACTTTTCGTGCTTTGACCATCAGTATTAGGTTTATTCGGTTGCGGAACTTTCTGGGGCATTTGAACAACGGAATCAAAATAAACAATCAACCTTATATATAGGTATATAGGTAGAGAAGTAATATCTGGATATGGTTTCAGAGTGGACATCCAGTCATCATTCGGGTCGACCGAGATACTTTTGCTTCTGAGGAGAGTCAAATGGAGAATATGAGTACCGTTTCGTTGAAAGACCCACAAATGGTTCGTATTATGTTTGCGATTCGAAATAGAATACTCCTAGAACTAGTATTCAGATGTCTGATGAGTTAGGTACTCCGGACCGTACTAGTAAAAATTATGTATAGGTGCTTTTGTCATGCAAATACGTGCTAGATCATGCATGTAGATCTGTTATCTACGTAAAATCCGTTACACAGTCTGCTGTCTCATCTTCGGTTAATTTAGTAGCTAGTGTTAGCACTAAACACTGTATCATCGGTAATAACTGCATTTCAGCTGGAGGACGATGGGATCTGTATGCCAACCGCAGTTGTGCCGGTGGCCAGAACAAAAGAAACGAGTATGGAAGACTCAGATGGCACCGATGGCAGTGAGGAGAAATGCTTATTGGAACTTATGTCCAGCCGTCCTGAACTATCAGATATAAGTTTGACTACTAAAACGGTTGCGCCAGATGAATCAACGTAGGTACCTGCTATCTCTCAATGCACGAGGCGAACATTGTCATCTACGCTAATAGTTCTATAGGGAGTATAAGCTTTTACTAGCATAGCCGTAACGGGCCCTAAAGTGGAACCAGTTCTGATATATCTGCTGGCAACGCAGCCTTGCATCCTTGTTCCTCGATAATGTTCTTTCGAACTCTATTTAACGTATTTAGGCATTTCCTGTAAATAGGCATGAGCCAGGTAAGCACTCGAATTGATTGGTCGATACGCGAATCGGGCGTAACCATCATTATGTGATGCTTTGCATTGTTATTCCGGCCTTGAACCAGCGTGCGCTCTTTAGAAATCGGATCGTACGTAGACGCTGCATGTTATTGCTCGAAATGTGCTCGACCCACTTAAACCATGCAGAAGGACGTAGAAACTGCCCATTCATTAACACTGAAGAGCTCGGAGATTCAACGGATTAGTAATGAATTCATATTCTACGAACGCCCTCAGAGCGTTTTTTTCTCCTCTGGGCCGGGGTTACCTATAAACCCAGAATTTCTGGTTCATTCATTTCCTGTTTTTATGCAAACTACATTTCCTTGAGTAATTCTTATCTGTTTTAGAACACCAAATACTTGCCGTTCAATTTCTAAAGTGACACTGATTTTATTGTATTACTCTATATCATGATTGATTTTGTGATATATGAATAATTATTGATAACAGGTATTATGAAGACAGCTTTGGACTGCTGTAAGTTACACTGGACGAGCTGTCGTACACCGGACGGGGAACGTCGCCGAAGGTTTCAAAACGTGAAATCTGTCTACAGGGTCTTATTATTATTATAGTAGTCCTAGGAGGAGTAAGCGGAATCTCGGGCATTCCAGTGTTCCTACCACTACAGAGTACTAATGTGTGTACTACATATAGTCATGAATAGAACAAGCGGCATCATCAATATCAATCCTATCACAATCCTGGCTGTGGTATTGTTGTCTGAATACTATCTACATAGTTTTATCAGTCGCAGTGGATTTTCAAAAATGTACAGGGTATAATGTTATCAGTTGCGGTTTTTAGTATTAAGCAGGCAAAATTGTGAAGACTTTGGTAATACCTCCCCCTACCTACCTACCTACCTACCTACCTTCCTCCCTCATACGGGGGTGGTTTGACAAAATTACCCCGGATGAGGTACGAAAGTCTGACCACATAATTGTAAGCTTCGACCTAGTCTTGTCATGTGTGGAAAAGCAGCTTCAAATCATTACGAAATTGTTAACGATAGGTATATTAGACGTGAGCGTCATTACAATTTTAACTATTGTGGATATTTATCAAGTGAACATTTTATCTGAACAGATTATCTAAATAATCGAAATTACACAATCGATAATAAGATGCTTTCAACCTGATCGTGTAACGGGACTAAATAGAAAAAGAAAAAAAAAATAGCAAAAATAATAGCGTTTTCATTTGTACGTAGTTTTTTTTGACTCGATAATAATCAAGTGTCTAGGCCTTCATTTTCAATAATACAAAATTTTGAGTAGTTGGAAATTTTATGATCACGTAATGATGTTACCGGTACACACGATAGGCATTTGCATGTAACGTAAACGAGGGTACTACAACCAGAAATCTATTTGTGCTACAGAAGTGTTCTACGTAACATTGAGACTATTAGTATAGAAATTTTGGTTGTATTACCGCTCTATTTAGTATTCAGCTATTCCAGCTACTTTGTTTTTATCTGATTGATGGATCGATCTGTATCGAATCTGTTTACAGGCTTTTTAGTTTTTATGCCAATTACATAGTAACTGATAGTAAGCGTTGAGGACCCGACTTCGTACCATGTGCATATACATCATCTAATTCGCGGTTATTACAGAAGCGGTAATTCCCGCTGAATTTACTTTTCCAATCTCTAACCTTCGAGCCCAATGGCAAGAACATTTGTTTTCGCTGTTTCTTAATTCCTCGATTGTCTCAGGATTTTTGTTTCCAGGTATTTGTCGTTGTTTCGAAACAGAGGGAGATTCACAGAAGCTAGATCTAATCAATATGATTGCTGCGGTAACGCATGAACTGATGGGTAAACACGCGATCCAAGTGGTGACATGTGAGGTATCCCCATGGTAACGTAAGTCTAGCTTCGTATTAGCAGACAATTTTGCGCTTCCTTGGTAATACTTTGGCACCATTAAGGTCGGTACGCTAGAATCTGTAACTCCCCAATAAGCGAAGATGGCATAGGCTGAGTTTGATCTTTCGATCCGAGTTAGACCCTAGAGCGACATGCTAACTATTATGCCTAAATATTCATGCCCTACCCGTACATCGATACTTTCAACCGATACTGACTTTAATTTTCTGAAAAAAAAATCCGGCAAAAAAGCCGAATATCATCTGAAAGAAGGCATTCCTAAAAAAAAACAATTACTTTCAAACATTGTCCATGTACAGTATATCAGCAACTGATTGTATTGTTAAAGACACTGTTGATATTTAGTGGTTAAAGGCCATACGTTCTATCGATACTTTTAGCCGGAGTATTACCAAACAGTTTTCTATTTCATCACTGAGGTATTGAAGTTTTAAATTTCGGCAGCACTTGTATGCTACCAGAAACCCTGTTACGTTACCCGACAGAAGCCGTTTATCGACACTTCTTTGATCTGATTTTACTTTTCTTTCACACTCGACGCAAGATCTCGATTGCGGAATCGACGATTGCACCTATTGAACTAAGTGCATTAGGCGTGTCTCTCTCGTGCAATTTAAGCACCGCCTGCAGGTGTCAGCATGGCGTGAACCTGTAGGTAAATGAAGTCCTTATTGAAAGATATTCAGCAGCATCTAGTGTTAAGCTTTTCCTTCTAGATGGAACCTTACTTAACTTCAGACATAAGATGAAAGTCGGATGATTTTTCTGATCTTGCTCACTAATCATGTAGATTAACATCCAACTGGGAAAATGGGTTTTCGGAAGTAGCCGTAAGACTACGCTCGGTTTGCAAGGAACCTAGTTCGCAGGTTCTTTGCGTATACTGTTTGTGACACGCGATGGATAGCCAACGACTGGCGCAAAGCTATTGGACGCTGCTCGCCATTGCTTCTCCGCATTATTGTATAATTGCTTATACACTAAACGGCGCTTCTGTTCTGAAGGCGCTTCTATTCTACTATTGAAGAAAAATTTCGGAAAATGATTTTGCAGAATTTGGACGTCAAATCGTTGGACGTAACACTTTACAGGTAATTGCAACACATATCGGCTTTATGTACGAGAAAGAGGTAGATTATCCAGATATTCTATTTGCTCGTTACATCGTTTCGATAACACCGTTTACTGATGCATACGGCTCTGTAGAAAACTATTAGATGCAATCGGTGGTAAATGGCTCGTGCGATGACTTCACAAAATACGTGACGTTACTACACGCGTAGTTGGTGATTACTGCAGGTAGGAGGCAGTGCCCTCTACTTAGGAACGAATGTGACTGCCAATATACTTCTTGACCACCGATTGAGAATCAAAACTATCTCAAGGTATAGGATTGCTTAATTGTGCATCGATCTTACTGAGACTGTAAAAATACTCTTGTCTCTTGGCGAGAGCTTATGTGGCAGTTACCGAATAAGCCAACGAAAGCCATTCGCCCTACGACGTTACGGAGTCACGCTCGACGTGCAGCGAACAACGTTTTATCTATAAAACTTCCTTGCTCAATGCAGCTAGCTGTAGGCTGCATAAAAGTGACTGTCCAATTACAACAAGTACGATTCATGTTTGTAGATTGGGATAAACCATGACAAGTTTGTCTTGTTCCAAGTTACTGAGGAAAAGTGATAAAGGATGCCGGAAGCACGTGGCGTCCACAGCATTGATCGACTGCCTGCTATTATATGCCTACAATTACTGTTTGCATGATTGTTACCGCTTGACGATACATTGGGCTACGTTTACAACCATACCCAAACCCATATACTGAGTAGTAGGAGTTATGGGGTAAAGATTTCCATTTCCGGTTCTCAGTTGTAAAGCTCTCCAGCTAAGCGGCAATTAGTCGGTCTGGAACCGAAATTTTCCAACATCGGCTCTTACGTGATTGCATTACGCAAAAAAATCTAATACTAAATTGTTACAACGGTCTGTTGATGCCACACACTTGCCACACTTTAAGTCGACTCATTGTTGGAACTCAGCCTTCAAACCCCGATATGATGGATACTGCAACCTTCTACAATTAAACCATATCATAGGCCTATTTCCAATTGTATCACAAACTTTGATTGTGAGATAGTGTTGCTCACCGTGGTGTTATAAATCACAGCATAAACGGTATCGAATGCTGTACGTACTTTACCTATTGATCCTGTTGTTCGGCTATGGTATGGCCCTTTAGGAGGCGGTGAATCTTCTGCAAAACTTTCTAGAGCATCTACTTTAAGCTATTAAGTTGATTTGGCTATTCTTTTTGCGGTTATAGGGAAACCATCTTGATTTCACTAAACACTTAGCGTGACTAGTTGAATTTACAACACTTTTGTAGAAATCTCTAATAAACAAACTGACGAAAGTGATGCTATGACCAGTCATATTACAAGACGGATGATCACAGCCTCTTAGCTGTTCAACATTATGTTCACCATTTTTTTTGACCTGGCAATCTTGAAAGGCGCGATAGCTACTTAGTGTATGACAGTCCGCAGTCAGGCCTGTGTGATACACTCAACTTCACTTGTTATATTAAACACCAAAGACTTGCTGAATTGGCTGTTGGTTGGGTCAACGCGCGATGACCCAAGATTCTAGAAAAGCAACGCATCTTTCGCGCATATTGTTCCCATACATAGCTACATGTTCGCGTGTAAATTGTCGCGAAAAATGCAAAATCCAACGGAAATATGTAGTTGATGCCGTGTGGCATTATGGCCCCATTCCATCGTCGTAGCTGTATCTAATTATAAGCGATACAGGACGATTTCATATGGGTGCATGACAAACGAATATACTGCTAGAAAATGTATATAAGGTAGATAATTTCAATCTGAACTATCCTTATTTCATTTTTCTAAACACAAACTCCTGGTATAGCAGCTGCGTGCCAAGCGATATTGAGATTTTCCTCGGATACGCTATATACAAGTAAATTCTGGCAACCTGGATTTCGCGAAGTACGATAGAAGACGCAGGGAAAACTCTAGAAGGTAATAAATTTACTACGAAATTCGTCGAAATGATTGGAAATCTATTTTCTGATTAATTAATAAAAAACGGAAATCATTCTGATAATTTTCCGAGCTCTTTGAACGCCATCCTGAACTTTCGTTTGCATCCCGGAAGCCTTCTTCGGAAGGTGCATAAAAACTGGCAATAATATAACAAGCCGTAGGCTTTTGCCTTTCGAGGAAAGTAAATTTTCGAGTTAATCGTTCCGTCCGTGTTGTTGGTCTTCGCTCAAGAAAATGCATAGTTTTCTCCATGATTAACTTGTTGTTTCGCCTAGAAAACTTCTGTTTTAGCAGCTTTTTCAGCTTGTTACCGAATAGCGACTGAATACACGCGAAACAGTATAAATGTATCCTCATCTCTTATCGTGTAAAGGTTGCAGCTAATACACCCAAACGACACGCTAATTTTAATTACGATTTTCAGAACGTGAATTTACGTATGTATTTACTGCTACTGTTATTAAAAACAGAGCTGAATAAAATTATCACCCAGATAGGGAACAATTTGCTTTCTGTGTGTCCGGTGATACCATGCTATCGTGCTTGGTACATTGTTTGTTATGTTCGTGTCAAAGGCGTAATGCGGACTTCTTTGTTGACAGGCCTATAATCTGTGCGGATACTCGAATGCGCCGTTGATATTACAGGACAACAAGCCTTGCCTACGCATTGGTAATGTTGTCCGAGTAAGGAAATAAGTTCTATATTTGCAAGTGCAAACATAGAACACTTGGTTTTCAAGCGATGTGTGAAACGGCATTTTCAACGCTTCAACTTTACCTTAAAAGAAATATGGTGCAATCAATTTACAGTAGTTCCTCAATGCTATGTTCAATGAAAAAATTATTTTTTTAAAAAAAGATTTTACACCTACTCTCACAGCAATATATTTGACCAATATGACATATGTCAAATATCGTCTCCCGAAAACAACAGTTACTGTTATCGAAGAAGCCGAATTGCGTGGAAGAAGAAGAAGAATAATAGCCAATACATTACTCCATAAGGGTATGTTGGCGGGACGACGCTCGCGAATACCACATGCGAAATAAATGTAGTGGGCAAAGGTATGGGAAAGAAATGTCACAGCCCCGCGATACCTCCATCAGTGTTATTCTTCTGAAGATCTTATGATTTCATTATTCATACTTCTGGCGCGCCTGTATCATATGTATGTTTTACAATGCTAAGGGTCCTTTTCTGCTGCTTTCGTAGCAACGTACGATCGATATACCTTCTGCTAAGCTGCATATTTAAAGTAAGCAACAGTTCCAACTTCTATACTAATTTATGTTTTAATATTGATGCCTGTACAAATCTGCCACCGGTACTGTACAATGTAAATGTTTTTCTATGACTTGGTCGGGGTCCTAGTGAAAGTAGTACACTCACTTGAGTATTCGAATGAATCTTCTATGATATGAACAGACCGACAAATGAACTGTACATTTAATATAGTTTCCACGTTTATCGTTGTAGGCTGTAACCTGTGGTCACCGTATATATTATAGCAGCTAGTAGCGAATTTATCACAATGGACATTTAAAAGATCCGAGACGTCACAACGAAGAGGCCATGCTACGTATGTCTTTTGATTTTCTGAGCTAGCTTATTTACGTTTTTGATCTGAATGGAAAAGCGTCCTAAGGTACTAACAAATGGCTTCGATCGTTTTCCTCTGTCTCTAAATCTGCTTTTCCTTAAAGCATCCGTAATCTGACCTCGACACTACCCGCTTGGCTCAATATTCATGCACACGTATCGCCATACGCCGTAATTGTATCGTGCGTATTTCATCTCGTAGTTAGTTGTACCATGTGATTGTTTTCGTAGAATGCCTGACGATTTGTACTTAACACTGGCTGCCTAGTTACTGTTGTCTGGCCAACCAGCTCTGATGTTCAGGGCAGCAGATTCTCTTCTTCATCGCCATCGATATTTCTTCCTGCTTGATCCCCCAGAAGGCACAGCAGCCATCGTAATTCGCATTTAGCGTTGATTGCTCCGCCAATACTTGTGTGCTACATCTAGTCTATAACGGGAATTATAACGTTAATAAGGGCTGCAGCTCTTTGATCTGGCTTTTGCCAGCCAATCGAAAGCGGATATTTAGGGAGGGGTTATCAGGACTCTTGCTGCCAGGACGGACCATCGCACAGTCTTGTGGTTGCCGGTGGTGAACGTTCCTTCGTCTCTAGCTAACATCGACCGCCAAGGAGCTTAGTGAAACAGGCTGTACGATATTCGAGAATGAGTGTATTATTATGATTATAGCACGCTTTGTTCACACACAATCGCGAGCCTCCAAGGTATAACGGCAGGCTACTCTATGTCCGGCGGCCTCTATTCAGGACCGAATTCGCAGTTTTCCTACGACTCGTTTTTCGAACGAAACCGAATCCTAGCAATCTCTACGATTACTCTATAAAATAATTTTCGAAAGAACGGACTCCACGACGGTTGAACACGGGGAAAGAAAGACGCAACGTCACAAATATGTGCGAAGCGTTTTTATATGGTTCTCCGCTTTACGCGTCACGTATTTTTTCAAGTTAGGTTGCCACAATTCAGATCCCCGCTCTCTTCATTGCCTTCTGTTTTCTGAGCCCTGAAGCATCACCGGCAGGTCAACGTTGAAATATCTGACCTTAATTAAGTCGAAGTATTGTTTAAATGGATTACGGGTAGTCTCCTCGCAAGCACCACTTCAGTATAGGTTACGTCGCGTATTATGAACAGAAAGCCATGCCTTTTAAGTAAGTATATCGCCAAAAAAAAGACGCCTTTAGCGACGAAGACTGCCTCATCAGGGTAGAAACACCACCGCAAATAGGATACGTTGAGATATCGGGAAATCCTTATAAAAGGTTATTTATCTCTATAATCATAAAATTTTAGGTACATGAATACCAATTGACTTTTGGGGAACCATTTATGATAAAAGCTAGATTACAAAAAAAAACAAGCGGAAGACCGAGAGTATCGATTGAGCTTATATTGGATAATAACGGGAATATATCTGTGGAGTTGTAGTTTGTTCTTGTATACCTAACTGTAGACTACTGTGTTCAGAAAAAGAATATCCTTTAGACTGGAATACTCACCAGGCTAACACGGAGTCTCATCTACTAAAAATCGCTTGTCGATTGTTTAAATACGGAGTCCTTCTTTGATTTTTTCGGTGCTAGCCTGGAAACTTTTCGTATTGATTCGATCATGGTAAAGGGAGGCAGTTAGAAAGTTAGTCCAATTACACTTAGTAAGAAGCTAATAAAAAAAGAACTTTGTCACAACTGACCTACTTGTGCTACGTCTAAGTTTAGTGTCTCTGGGTATCAAGAACAAATACGGTAAGACGCTTGTAAGGAGTCGTTTCTTCTCAAAAAAAAAGCAGTAGTTTATGATCCTAATGGAAGTCGAAAAACGTACGCGTACTATTTTGAAGTAATGAACTGTAATTAAATACCACGTTAATATACCATAGTTTCTAAATCTGTCTAACGTTTATTTAGTTTATGCGAAAAACAAAAGCTACTCCAGGCTTCGTAACTTCGTGACTTCAGATCCATTGTTGAATGAATAGGTGTGAGCCAATCTGATCGTTCCTACATGAATGACGCGTTCTGTTAGCGCCTGGCAAGATTATGGTGTTTCATAATAGGTTAGCGTTGCAACAGTTGCCTGGTTACAAAGACACGCACAACTTTTATGCAGCATGTGAAGTTATGAAGAAAAAATCGGATCTGGAACGAAAAAAGACGAGGCGTACTCGATATTCTTCAAGCGACTTCTGATCTGTACAGTTGAAAACGAGACCTGGACAACAGAAATGATCTGCCCATTTTCGGTGCATCGCAACGAGAACAGAAACCTATTATACGTAAGATGTTTGAGTTAACCTCAGTGCGATAAAGACGTTGATGCGCTGCATTTTAGAGATCTACACGATGCCTTTATATGACTATTTTCAACACCAGCTTATTGCGAGCGCAGATCATTAAAGGTTGCTGTTATTATGTTACGCGTTATTTTAAATCGAGACAATTTCTTCGCATTTCGTTGTGCAGTCACTACAAGTTACGTGTAGAAGTAACTTTTCCTAGGGAAAAGTCACTATTTTTCAGCAAAGGTTATTTTCTTGCTTGAATGGGCATGGCTACTTAACTGAGTTACAGAATAACATTTTGTGGTATATTAGCATCGAGAGTCGGCCGGTCATAAACCACGAGTTTTGTTTCCTATAAACTATACCATCTTCTTATACTTGTACACCACATATAGCCAGGTAATGAGTTTAGACCTCAGTAAATGATTATGTTGTACAAGATAACTGTGAACAGGGATATCGAAACGAATATTCATGGATGTATCAACAGATTTACGCTAGGTTCGATTCGTAGTCATGTACAGCTTAGTCTGATATAAATGTGTGCCAACATTCTATAGCTGAGTTTCACGTCTAATACGTAAGACCAATATATTTTTTCACCAATAAATAGCTAGCAAAAAAGTGAAGACAAAGATCACGAAGAAAAGTCAGCCAAAGCGAGTGTAGATCTTTTCTAGTTGCTCAATTTCTGCTCTTAAAAAGCTCTTAGCTTTTTTGTTATTAACTGTACTGTGTTTTATTAATTGACGTTCGATACCTTTAGGCAGTTGAATTATAATCCAGAATGTGAGAGACCAGTTCGTAGGTGTATAAACAGTAAGAGCAGATCGGCTATCTCTCATAGTTTTTCTACTATCGATGTACTCGTTATGAGTACATCGATAGTAGAAATGTAATGAAGAGTACAGACTATATAAATAGTAAAAGTAATCCCGAAAAAAATAAGTACGGAAGACAAACCGTCCAATTGAGCATAATTGTACTGTCCTGAAAAACTAACTAGGTATACTAGCAACACTAACATGGATGGAATGTAGGAGGACCTCTGGTCTATATATGCGCCCCTATCTAATTGAATTGGCAGACTTTGCTTTTCCGGTTCAAAACCTATGGGGCACGCGCGACTAAGCTAGGGCGAAGCCGCACATTCAGCATGCGACCCACTCTAACAGTAGTAGCTACATTGTCAAATGTAGCTACTATTTGTCAAAATTAAAAAATTGTACATTTTTGCGATACGTAAGTGCGTCTACGAAGGGAAAGCCTTTCGTAAGTGGCTCTCCTCTCTAGAAGTAAATATTTCTACGTGATCGTGATTTTTTTTCTCTCCTAATCGAGTTAACCATGAATGTTCGTTGGTTTCCTTACAGTACGATAGCCGTCGATTGATCTCAACAATAGTCTACATGTAAAGTACAAGAAGTATATTCACATCTATGTCTTTATTTGTATACGTATCGGTGCTGTGTAAGTATCTCCTATTATGTACAATACAATACATTTATACTATAAATGAAATATATAATTGAATGTACTTGCGTTCATCATTGTTTTATGCGCAACACTCGGCCATGGAATTCGCTCAATTTTTCCAAAGCTAGACTATGGAAAAACTAAATCCAGCCCCCATTGCATCATCGTAGACGTCGGTTTGTATCCCATATATACCCGTATGCTTCTGTACGAATTCCGACGGGTAACATTATAGAATATGCCTCATGTACGATTCCACTTGAATCTTAACCACTCAAACACCTAATTGTGTGGCTCGTAAGCTGACATCGCGTATCATTACTGATTATTTTGCATGTTCCTTACCAAATGTTGAAATACATGTTTTAGCATGGACTACTAATATTTAGGTGTTCCTTAACGTTTTCTGACCACATTGTCCGTACCTAAAATTGCAGATTAAACCCCAGCTGCTTCAGACAACACATTGTTAGTAACGTACTTTGTCTAAAGTCTTGGTTATGTACTATAGTGAACGCTGATGGAGCATCAAAGACAAGAAATGACTGTAGAATGAAATGAAAAAAGTAAAATAATATTGCTATTGCAACAGTTCAACAAGAGGTGTGTTGTTGTGCCGCATTGCAAACGAAAGCATTTTTTTTTTTTTTTTTTTTTTTTGTTAATTTAAAGGTATCATGCATTGTCGACGTGGTTCAAAGGCAATAAGCATTAGCTTTATCGATACATTGTACACAATTAATTAACTAAGTGCTCTCATCGCTTTCGTCACCGTCCGTAGTTTTACTATGACGTTTCCGGTATGATGACAACGTGGACCGAGCTGTCCGAAATCCGCAGCAACTCGGCTCCGCGACCCTTATGATTTGCAGGAGGATTACTATCTGTGTTATTCTCATTACCCATAGCCTTCATTAAGGTAGCACCGCATCTCGAACCCTGCTGGGTGCTTGTCCGACGTTGGATTCGTTGACTGCCAAACATTGCCGAGTTCTCTAGGTGGGTTTGTCGACGTCGATGTGCATTACGTCGTATTGTCGCTCGTAGGTAAGCGTTACGCACAGACTTCTGCACCTCGGAATTCATGAAGCAGTAGATGGTAGACACGAGAATTCCCTTGAAGGAAGCAGAATAACAATATTCATTAAAATACTCTAGAAAGAAAAGTTATGTATTGTCTATAAGGCATGGTAAAGCATATATTCGCAAATGCCGCTTATCCGAATCATGCCAGCAATCAAGATGGCGAAACTTGAATCGTGTTTGCAACCATGTTTGTTTAGCGTCCAATAGATATTTCATTTTGAAACACTTCCAAATAAAAGAATTTATTTGGATCCAAAGGCTGGCGTTTGCCAAAAACCAAAGGAAGGCTACGAGCTGGCAGTGAACAACAAATCGAAAGGGACTTTTTGGCGGCAACCCAAAAATGGCGGACTGGTCAAGTAGCGAGAAGTTTGTCAACAAGGTGTGTACGATAACATTTTCAAACTGGATTGGTTTCCTGAGAAATTGGTGATTCCAAATTGTCCTGATCGACTGCCGTGGAAGAGCTCGACACTACCCAATTTCGGGAGGAGGAGTGAGTGAGGGCGAAAGCCATATGAGGCGTTTTAACAGTAATGAACCATAGAAAAGCTCTGAGGTGAGAGCTTGCAGAAAGTATCTAAATTTATAGTCAATCCTTTCCCCACTGGACCTGCGCTACCAACAGGTCAGTGAGGAGGGTTTGATGAAGAAACGACATGAATGAAATTGAGAGAGAGAGAGAGGAAACAATACAATGTATCTGGCACAATCACTGTTTCGATGCTTCGGGCTAGTTATTCGCCCATAAAAATAATAACGAAATATCGGTAATAAAAAAAAAAAATGTAAAAATATAAACCGATGATAATAACTAGATCGTTTAAATAGCGCGGCTTAGCGGCTATACTGTGGGGAAATAATGAACGTTCAGGACAAGTTAGACGCTATCATACCCTGTTAGAATGGCAACTCATTTTATGACTAACAGTGTAAGAATAACAATATTGTTGGGTTTAGGCAGCGGCGCATGAACCAGACACGCCTGTTCTTGTTTCTGCTATCATGGGTAGGCCTTCGAACGTGCGACGTATTTGCAATCGTTCTTTTCACAGTGGCACCAGCTGTTGAACGTCCATGGCGAACACGGCGCTGTGCAAAACTTTTTATTTATTTATTATTAAACGTTTGCATTGAAGAATAAAGGGATGCTTATTGCTGATAGGCTGACGTATACCACCCTGCAGCCATAATAGAAATAGCATCCTATTTGAAGGCCGTAGTTATGAACCCTGTCGGTGATCAACTGCTAGTTATAACTATCATATTAATGGTAATATGTTACCAATAACAACATACAGTTATAGGAACGAAATTTGATTGACTCACTGGAACTTCATTTTCGCACCTGTTACCGTATTGAAACGGATCCACGTGATGCCGAAACTTTCAAGGGTATATATATATACGGCACGCAATTTTGCAATCTTCATGATTAGCTGTGAAGATGAATACAGCTATTACTCAAGACTACGTCAATTCAAAAGCACATTAAAATCTCTTAATGAAAATTTCCTATTCACTCTTCATCCCCAAGCCTCGAAATGAACAATGTTTTTTTGACTAGAGGACCTTGCTGATCGTTCGTTGTTCGAAACTGAGCTTTGGCTGAACGACAATTTTTTCAAACTCATATTACCGTAAAAAGGGGCAGACTTTGTACAGAATGTCTACCATCGTTTGACCGAAACCCGTCATACGATCTAGTCCACTAATGACTAGGGCCATTGGGAAACAATGAAACGTATTGAGAGTGGTGCATATGATCGAAAATCAACGATGTTTTAGCAAAAATGTGTTGTCGATTATACGTAGCAAGCCAAGAACAATGTCACAGATTTTTCCATCACCTTGAAGGGAAAACAGTTTATCATGCAACGCGTTGCTACATACAATAAATTAAGTACAGATTAGTTGTTGTTGTTATTAATGTTTTATATCTAATGAAAACATGTTTAGGTTATTCTAGCTTGAAGGTTATATGAAGAACGCGTTCTCTCGAAACACTTCACGCTGTATAACGATAATCACGATGTAACGTATGTTTAACGATGCTTAATCTCCTGCCATTTCTCAATATTAATTTATTTATTATTATTATTTTGGCGAAGGCCAAAGGAAGTTACCGATCGAAAACGTGTTTTCGACGTAATTCTTGTGAGTTTCGGTAGTGGTGGTGAATGAGAAAAACAATCAATCATTCACGGTAGATTACATTTACATTTACGTTTTTGTCATCTCAAGTATCTAATTATGCTTTCATCCGTAACGTAATAATGGTCCCAATACGCAATAAGCAGTTATGCATCTTTTCCTTTTCAAACATTTCATTTTCCAATCGTCCCGCATATACTTACTTAAATCTTGATACAAACTGTATACCCAAATTTGCCTTAATTAAGTCAGTCAGCATTAAGTGGTAACAGCTATCAAAAAATTAATGGCTACAAACGACATAGCGTTTTTGTTTCTGGGAGTTGCTTGCAACGGCTATAGCATCCAGTTGAGACGACTCCTAAGAAGTCTAAAAAGACGGCTAAGTTGTTTACGATTGCGTCAGTCACATATTGAAGAAGTAAGCACATAAGTCAATCATTATTAAAAGCTACGGGGAGTGTCTGCAACGTAGGTGCTTTATTACTGTGGTTGGAGAAATTTCTTAACCAGGACGATTACCTGAATCTCCCTAATTTAGAAACAGAATAGGTGCAAGCGTAAACCTTAACTAACCATGATAATACAATAGTTGGCACGTAAAGTACTACTCTATTTTTGCTTCGATAAAATGAAAAGCAAAGGCGATACAAGCAAAAAAAAAAACACAAAAGAAAAGCTTGAGTAGCTAAGCCAACTGTTTTTTTGTATTTAAAACAGGTTCTGCAGATTATGCTGAAGACAATATAATATTCTATACGGCCATGATTTCTATTCAGAAGCCTTGAGCCACAAAGTAGCCTTGTTTTTATTTATTGTATCAGTTCGGTTTTCGCCACCCAATGCTCTCAGGTATTGATATATTGTCATTGTACATCCTGTTTGTTCTGGTGAATTGCTCACGGTTACTTAAAAAGGAGTGATTATGTCTTGCCAAACCATTAAGATGATCCATATTGAAAAAGAAGAAGCAAATGCGTTAAAGCATCTATCATTTGAGCAAGATACGGATAAGTAGATAAAGTTTGCTTGATTTTTTCTCCTCCTAACATCCTCATGGTCATATATCTGTTAGATATTCGGTAAAAGAGCTGTGGGAAAAATCGGCCAACATTACAATTATCCATATGGTTCCCGCGAGAGACTGCCAATCTACCACTCCTGTAATCGGTTATCTTTGGCTCATCCGTACCGTGTAGCCTATCCATTAACACATTATAAAATTTTCTGATGATGCATTAATAGTAAAAACTAGTTCGTAATCCCCTGCCGAAGACAAGTTGAAAATCAGCAGGGGCAGGCCCACGCCCACTTGTCTTCTCTGTTAAATAAGTTGAACAGAACATCAGAAGGTTCGTGTGGAAGAATATGCAGGCACAAAAGTACCGTATGAGCACTGTACCAAGCTCTCACCCTTCTCTCGTCTACCCTGAAAATATTATTATTATTATTATTATTATTATTATTATTATTATTATTATTATTATTATTATTATTATTATTATTATTATTATTATTATTATTATTATTATTATTATTATTATTATCATTATTATTATTATTATTATTGAATGCAAGCAACTGAAAACGAGAACAGCAGTCTCTTAAGACGTTTTTAGTGTTTGGCCAAGCGATTCGGTGCTTCGGTCCCTTATTCAATTCGAAATTAAACGACGTCATAAACTGTCATGCATTGAACATCAGAAACGAGAACAGCGTAACTGCGCCTCAATGGTCGAGGCAATGTTCTTTTTGGCAGTCACAGTAGCGGAGATTATTTTAACATGACATCCACAATGATCCGCTATAATCTGATCTGATAGAGTGGATGGACCATTTGCTAGCCAGCTTTGAAATTCTGCCAAGTACTTTCGTAACAAATAGCATTAGCGACATCAATTTTGGTCTCTTCTTCTATGAAGAGCAGAAAAAGCACGTAAACGGAAGATTTCAAGTGCAGAATGTGTTTAGAAAAAAGGACAAATAGAGGATAGGAAGAGAAAACTAAAAACGGGTCGGCTTAGTGAAACGTAATCAGGAGGGTAGAGACGACCAGCAAACAATTTTTTCAAAGCTGCTTTATAGAAGTGGAAAGGCACCAGGGCAGTTCGTGTTTGTGGCAATAAAAGAAAAATGCATTGCAAACGTAGATGCAGACTGAGGTAGTGAAGACTGGCGAGTGCAACTGGAGAACATTGCTTTAAACATTATCATACGTAAATAACAGCCAACTACATATAAACAAAAATTTCCATATATATATATATATATATATAAACATCAAGAAACAGCCACGGCTATGCGATTATCACCTTTCATCAAGTCTTCGAAGTAATACCAAATATATCCCGAACCATGACCCAAGCAGATAAAGAGGTCCAGGGTTTAGTTTGTGAGAGTCCTACAGTACCGCACAAAGCACAATTCAGTGATGTCTGGTGTGCATAATGCATTTGCCTCAACCTCGAAAAAAAAAACGGTCGTACGTGCGCAATGCTGAATAAGTCAAAGAGATTACATGCCTTAAAATCAATGAATGATTATCATCCAATGTTGTTTTCATTTCTTGTTTTCATGTTATGAGATATATTATTATTGCTCGAATTCGTTTTTATTTTCCAAAGTAGTTTGTCCTTCTTATATGAAAACTGGGTGCTCTGATTGAATTCATTATCCCTCACAGAAGCTCCCTCAATACGCGTATGCTAGAGAACATTTTAGTTCTGCTTCTGCCTAACTTTCAAAAAGCCACACCCTCCAACCAACATAAAGTATTAATGCTTGTTGGATGCATCCTAATGCAAGCGATCGGCGAAGTCCTGCTAACTGTTTGAGTGTCCACCGATAGCTAAACCCACCATTTCAGGACGCTTCGGGATGTTTATGACGTGGGTTATTACCAAGAGGGTAACTTTTCCACGAAACCTATAAAAGCACGTTTTAACAATCGTAACAGGCATTAAGCTATCATCTCGAGTTGGATCAAAACATTCTACTGCCTGGGTAGTAATTGCCTTCTTTTGAGTAATGAAAAGCATACAGAAATGCATACAGAAAAAAAAAAATAGAATTTCATTTGGATGTTTATCGTATTGCCATTAGATATGAATTACAAGTAGTTGTTGGTCTATACCTTTGAAAAGCATTCCTAAAAATAACAGAATTTACTTTGCCGAGTAATACCTTTAAATACAGACACAGCAAAAACTATATTATAAGAAATCCTCTTAGGGCTCTGAATTGGCAGGACCAGAGGCCTTTCCCAAAGCACCCTCAGAAATGCACATACGTATTTTTTATATAGTGGCGAAGACGGCGAATTGTACTAGAATTTTCCTTTATAAACGAACATTCACGTCTAACAGATCTACATATGAGCAGCCATTCATGGGCATGAATAAATTTTCGCTACCGAATGCTGCCTACGAGATACATTCTGCTGATTTTTTGCCCTAGACACGAAGATGCTTTCGGTGGTGAAGCATCCCCACATGTCTATCTGCACCTTTTACAAGGTCGTCGTGCAGGAATACAGGCCGGTTTTTCGTCTACTAGAAAATATATACACACGTAAAGAAATATATATGTTTCACTTCAATCAGTGGCAAGCGTAAAATTGAAGCTAGAAGGCACGGAAGCCAACAATATAAACAACTTTCGACTTCATCTGTTAATATCTACATAATCCAATGCCTTCATAATAACTATTAGGAGGTCTGTACTGCCAACTGAGCTATCCCCTTTAAAAGGCTGACTACGAAAATGTCTGTGACGACAGGCACTGCAGCGACAGTGACAATCTAATTAGAACAAAAAAAGATCTAGTTTATACGTTCTTTTGTTATCTACGGAAAAAAATTTCGAAGTTGGGCCGAGTCTCTTGGTACAGTCGTTCAGCAGACGACGCGTATTATTCGCTCGTTTTGTGCATACATGTATCACTGTAAGAAAACATAGGAGAATACCTATTCGTTTGAGGAGAGTAAGCGAAGCCGTCTTACGTATCGCTCAGCCGATATTAATTCGATAAACTATTCATTCACTCAGTGTTTGAATCCGTACTTCTAATTTGCATTATTTTTCTTTAAACGGCGAAATCATGGATGCTTAGGTACAACAAAAGGAGCTTTCCCACAAACCCCGAGCTTTATCATAATATATATATATATTTAATATATATTCGTGTTAATTATTCTCGTGCCATTTGAAGTGAAACCCAGTAGCATTCTGCAGAAGAAGAAATAACAGCATGTAACAGTAATCTATAATACCAGGCTAACGCTCGTTCAGTCCAGCTTTCCTGCCAGTGTTTTTCAATGTCTGTACAGGGAAAGCTCAATCGTCTCGATGTTTGTGCACGTTCCGAGTAACCAGTCAGCATGCGTCTGGATCGCACGAGTCTATCGTCTATATAAATAGGTTATACATAGAAACTGTGATATTTTGATTATCGATGTCACCCCATGATACGATAGTAGCCTCAAAAGTCTATTATAGACTTTTCTATAGATAGGCATTAGTTTTGGGAGCGGATTAATTAACTAAATGAACAAATACAATGATTGCTCTGTTTTTGAAATTATCTATAATACTTTAGCAAGTAAGTATCCGTTAATATGAGCCCTCAGCGTGCCTTGTTGGAAAATGAATTAAACAGTGAAAAGCTAACGTTCATTCACCAAACTTAATCACCTTTTGAAAAATAAAACTTACATGTGCGTGGTTCTACAAAAAAGAAACACTTATATTACGAATTTGCGACAAGCTTGGAAAAGTTCCAAATGTAATTACCTGGAAGCTTCTAGCAACGTGCTTTGCCAAAAACAAGTCTAGTCTTTCTGTAATTTTTGTCTGTTCGGCCTATAAATCTCATAGATCGTATATATATGTATGTATCATATGGTACGTTTTCGGGAGTCCGCGTAACGTAATTTCTACGGCCACATTATCACTGCATGTTTCACTTTACAAAAGTTACAAAAAGAACTTGTTTTAATTAAAAGTAGACAGTGAACCATTTGATTAATATCGATTTTTTATCAATATTTTGCGCCATTGTGTGCCATAGTTGCATCCGCTTAGCAAAGTCCATAGTGTTGGGCTATGCTCGACTGGACCCAAAACGTACTCGATAAACAAGATCACTTAAATTCAATTCGATACGTTAACCCGTGCGAAATCGAGTTAGTGTTGGGTTCCTTTTGCGTTTTAATTACAGACTGGCGTAATTAATTTAATCAAGCGTAGTAACGTTTGGGCTCTATTTGAATTGTGTAATTCGTACCAACCACCGTCGCCTACACGTTTGCTACTTTATCGAACATTTTTTTGGGAGCAGTAAATTGATGTTCTCTCCGTCGTTTTCGTTAAGACATTCAGGATTAGCGTGCCAGCCATTTGTTACTCCATTATCTAGATACGCACAAGTAACTGAATAAGAAATTAGAAGATTAAGAAGAACGTCATAAACGTACCGCAGAAACAAAACTTAGATTCTGTTTATCATGTGTATGTATATTTTAAGCTTTCGGTTTGTCCAATGTTATTGTTAGCATTTCTGAAACCGTTGTATTGAGCGATAGTAAAATGAATAATAGGTTTTAAGGTGGCGAAAATATTAGGAAACATCTCTCGCTTAACTGCATTTTATGATCGGCTCCAAACACAGGACTCCACACACGCAGTGATTTTTTTGTCATACACTTTTGACGAAATGGTTTATCAAGCGAGCGTAAGTTAGTAATTTCGACGGTTATAAAGGAAATGACACGAACGACGCATGAGATGGAACAATCAACTGAGATCATCTGGATGCGAGTTCGCTTAAAAGAGCTTGAAATCAGTACGACAAAATTGGCTTGAATGGTACTTCCCTAAGTGAGCGTGGTGCAAAAGTTAGAAAGCTTACGACAGCACCAGTAGCAAACCATACGGGCGTGGTCGTCTCGACGCTATACTGGAAGTGGCCATACCTCTCTCTGCAGAGGCCGATGCCCTGGGATATATTCAATGGAATTTTTTTTAAGAAACAGCAGTATCAAGGGCTGTTACAGAAGGGTCATCTTTGGCATGCGTGATTTAGTAAGCCACGAAAGATTTGACAGGCATGGCCGGATGATCAAGCTGGCGATTATCTTCTTTGTGAATTATACTGAAGCGGTACCTTGAGTTCGTCTTTTGGTACGAAACATTAAATATAAAGAGTAAAATTATGGCCTGGTCTTATGTGCGCACATGTACACCAACCCGTACTCGGCTAACCTAAATATCTACAGCTGACTGTCAGCTACGACAGGCTTCGGTGCCCCTCCTAAACTGTGCTCGGAGGACCTGTCAGGGTTAAGAACTGAATGCTGAGTTACCTGGAGAGACCGAGCTCGAGCTCGAGCGGGATTATAGCTCTTACAATCAACTTTCTTATTGCTCGGATTTTTATTTACTCGGAGCAGGGTGTCACTCCGGTTAGCAGAAAGATTATCATGGCACTATCCCGAGAGCCCACTCGGTCTTCTCAACTAGAAATCAAGTCTACTGCTCTGCATCATGTAACTCCTATATTTTTCCTCGCAGTTGACTGGTATATTTTCGCATAATAACAGTTAGGTAGCCACTGGCTTCTAATTAAAGTAGAATCGTTGTAAACTCAACTTGTCACATGATTCGCTGCATCACAGCAGGCCATCGATAGACAGTGGATTCGTTCGGACAATGTATCTGCCATAAACCTGTCACTATAATCTCATTATACTCACTTGTGTTGACATAAGAATGCCATTAGTAATCATGTAGGCATCTTTGAGTTTCTTGTCCGAGTCCTGCGGGTTGAAACAGAACAGGAGGTGTGACGTCCCGAGGAGTGGAAAGAGTAGTAGCGTAGCCTTGATACCTTTTCTAAATAAGCAACGAGAACAGCAACAAAAACAATGTAGCAAAATACTATTTAACAAGATGGACCGATTCAGAAAACGTCGTTTTCCCTTAGACCGCTTTAAAATCTCATGAACATAATCGGTGGCATTTGGAAACTGAGATTTAACGGCATTTATTTAGACATCGGACAGAGCGCCGTGAAGATTGTTGAAGGTTGAAGTTTCGGCCAAAATTCGCTATATATTACGGTACTATGTAAGATGTATTATCGAAACAAAGAACGACCCAAAATGTTTTTCTATGGCCTTTGTTCGGAAAATTCCAGTGTGAAATATGTTTCTGCGATGTGATAATGGCCAGATTTACGGAAAAAAAGGCCGTACTGTTTGTGTACTGATATTGGAAGGGGATCATATGTTACGAATGTGTTTAAACTTTTCCATCAGCAGGTAATAACATTACGGCAAACGATTAAAAAAAAGTCGATCAGAACTAGTGAACGGAAAAGGCGTTGCCTACCATCATCACCGTGCAAGCATTATTAGGCTGAAATCGAAGAAAAAGAAGATACTGGAAAATACTGCTGGAAGAGTACTGGAAAATTTCAACCTATTCGCCTTATAGCTCGATAGATCATCATCTTTTTTTCGTCTGGTGTTTATTTACAGCAGAGGTATAAAGTAAATCACTCGTTCGAATTTTCCGCCGAAAAACCATGGACGTATCATGGCGATCGCGTTTTGGTGGGACCAGAGAAATATCAGAAGTTTATCGATCGAAATGGCGCATATTTAGTTATTTTAAAATATAGAAAAATATTTGCTTCAACTTAGTATCTAGATGATTTAGCTAGTAGCAAAAGCTGAAGCCGATTAGTATTAACTTTGGAAACACAGATGGCGGCTAGGCGGTTCTAGGCGGATGTTCGAAAAGCAATGGGATCTTGATATGGGGCACGGATGTATCGACGAGCACTTGTCCGGCGTCTTTACAATATTACGCATCATGTCCCATTCAGAAGTCGTGTTTAAGACATGACATATTACTAAGTGTAACGTCCTGTCCTTTGACATGCGCCAGAAATAACTCTGTAAAATTTTAAGCGACGGAACGAAAAATTTGCCGCAATCCAGAATGTAGTCCATTAAAATGACAACGGATGGGAGAGAGAAACAGGTTTATCACTAATTCGATGCTTTTGTTCGCCTGCTAGGATTGAGCTGTACTAGACGCGTCTGGTTAAAATTCATTCAGCTATCACAACGACGAAAATTGCAGAACTCGACCTAGCGACCTCTAACAGCTTAAGACGTAAACTCGGCGACAAACGACGCACGAGTTACATTGTAGTGTAAAATCATAAAAGCGTGAAATTACCTGAAACGATCATTTTCAGCGGACCTGACCCGTGACACTAAAATTCGTACTATGTTGCTCAGAAAACAGAAATTAATTGCAACTGCGGTAAGACGTGGCGCTACCAAGAGCCATGTCCAGTCGTTATAAGCGTATCCTTCCCAGCAGCGGCTATGCGAACTTGTCGCCTCCATCTCCACTGCCCACGGTACAATAAATATAACCGGAACACCTGGTGGTGAGAAAATGTAAGGCCATAAGATGACATACAAGCAGACCTGTCATGATGAAATTTATAAGCCCCATGTTTGTACGCAGGCCAATGTTATAGTATGCACAAAACGACAATGTAATTGATCTTGTGCGATCTATTCCGCATCTGTTCCGATTCTCCGAACCTGCGGCGGTTTACTACCAGGCCAAAAAGTAGATGGCTTATGCATACTGGTGGTCAATTTTTGCGCACAAAAATAAAGAACCGTTTACTCGAAGTGCTTATACTGACGCGCTATAGTATTTGAATGAAAGAGTGACTGAAGTAAGCAACAGGGTATTTCATTTGGGCCCTATATTAGTGTGGACTTATTGATTGAGTACTGTTTTTTCCTATCGACATTATTATTATTAAAATCCTCGTTACCAACGGAGGCACCATTTGTCAAACCTACATATTTTTGATTTGAAAAAGCATCCTATCCTAGTGACACTACGATGCATCGTGAGAACGTTAGTCTTCAATTGCAGAGTAAAGTTTGTGATCATCAGTCATTTGCTTTGTCCTCTATATGTTTATGTCTTAACATATATATATATATATATATATATATATATATATATATATATATATATATATAACTAATAACTTTCAGCGCATGATGCAATAACGTAAAGGACGAAAACTTTATAAACCAATGTAAAATAGGACTTACCCCATCCAATGGTATAATATAGTTTAAAGGGGGCACTTTTGCTGAATATTGATGTCGTAATCTTCGAGTGGAGTAGAAGACCTTCGATGAACATCCAGTTTATCGAGGACATTGATGAGTACATTTGTAGACATAAAACCATTTTACAGAGGACGGGCTAAAATAGAGATAGAACATTGGCTAAAAAGTATTCTCAGAAATGATGGAATGAAAAATAGATAGATACTATAGAAGAGAAATATTTATCGTTACCTATAGAAGTGTAATTCAGTTGGCCAGACTGAAGTAATATGATTTAAGGCTTTCTTATATTTAACGACACGTGTCGGAGAGCCTGATTGATCCATAGTTGACATCACCGTTAAGCTACTTCCCAGGATAATAAGTAGATTGAAGACACAAAGGTAATACTGGAAATCGATTGTTTAGGAGAACAAACGTCATTTTGATTTTACATGTACACCATTTCAAAATGCTAGACACTTTTCAGATTAGTTAAAATAACTTAATTTATATCTACCTACAGAGAAAGCAATAAGAGACCCGTTTCAAGTCCACTTCACAAAATGTAAAATTGAGTGTCTATACTCTTAACTAACTTTACCATTGTTCAGTTTGCTGGCGCACGGAAGTACTATTTCGAAACTCAGAACAAAAGGTCTCATAGATCTACCTTACTTGCTCGGAAAATATGACGCGAAGTTACGGAAAAAGTGCGACATTAATTGGCCTGGAACTGTTGGCAGGACCGAATAGAATTTCCTCATATTTTTCCTATAGTTTGAATTAGTCGAAAATGTATCTATCAGTACTAAAGCCATTGTTTGTTAAGCACACATTTTATGGCAGCCCTAATCGTAGGGATTCGTTCCTTATTTATCTTTCTTATTATTAGTCTTATTATTATCTTTCTTATTAGTCTTTTTATAATACGTCAGGCTGGATCAAAACCGAAACATGATCTATAACAGGTGTCAACACTTGATATTGTTTGAAAGATGTTCTATGATTAAAACCGACTTGGAGATAACTCTACGCTCATTTAATGTGGGGAAGTAATTCAAAATCTGCTCCGTTTCGTTTGAATAAATCCATTGCCATTATGGTGTGGCAAACTACTGCTTTGCCACACCATGGTGTAGGTGGTAGGATTAAGGGCACGTATGTGTGGCCTGTTATTAATAAAAGGCAAAACTGTTTACGCATATGTTTTGTTTTAATGACAGAAATAATAATTTTGAAGTGGTACACTTCATAGTGGTACACTTGTAGGCCGAGACCCCTTTCTCATCTATTTAATAAGATTCTATTACGTAGAACTATAATAAGAGTATTTTGAAGTTTTACTAACACAGTGATATGGGTATTCTCTCACAAATTAGTTGGTTCCAGCCGAACAATTGAAAAAATAAACAATGGACATTTAAAACAGTTTCAAAGTTGGACAAGTAAATGAATGTAAGCCATCTACAGCGCTGAATACGTCCAGAAAGTGAGCATACGGTGATACACGAATGATCTAGTACGAAACATTCATCAGAATACCAAGGTTTTTTGCCATAGCTTCGATGGTACGAATTTCCATGTTCAGACTGGTGCATTTAATATTTCATATCCTATCATTCGTTGGTGTGACATTTTTCATTTGTTTACTGCTATTAAGACTAATTGGATCAGGCAGCAGCTACTGAAACAGACAATTCAATTAAATCAACGATATACTTTAACCTGATTTAAGAAGGCATGTTACTGAATTTGTGACCGAATTAATTGCTTTACTCTTCGCTTTTTTGAAACCACTGCTCACAAGTTATATCTTCTAACATGTGCAGTTCAATATGATTCGTAGAGTAATACAATACGGCTCCAAGCACAAAGTTAGAAAATCCTGTACACTATGCCAAGTTTAACTAAAACTAGTAAAGGGCCTTTGGCGTTTACTGCTGAAGGTTTAGAACGCTTTTACCCTTCTCGAAACGATGCTTGTTCTAGCCCTTGTCGGTTCGTCATTGTTTAGTATAACGCACGATCTTCAAGCAAATCTCACACGTTAAAGTATGGTCTGTTTTGTTTTTTATGTGGCTTTTATTTATTGAGAATCGATATAGCCTTATCGCCCTCTCTCTCTCTCTCTCTATTACATATATATATCGACCGACACTTTGTACTTGCTACGTATCTCCTGTACGACTACACCTCTCCATCTTGTAGTGATCGGTCGTATAACGCTCCGTTTCCTTGTTGAGCCGTGTGGACACCCCGTTATTTCTCTTCCCAAAAACATCATATCGTCCTCGTTTGACCGTCCACCCAAACGCGGTAACGACAGCGGTAGCAAATAGGAAAGCAGACATTTGTGAAAATTTGACTGGCTGCCCAACAGAAAGCCCCGCGGTTGACCCGTCCCCCCATGTAGAACAGGGAAAGCGAAGACATGAGTATTTTCGTTTTGGGCTAGTGTGGATGTGTGGATGCACTTGAATTCTAGTATTGAGCGTCATATGTGACGATAACCACCTTCAGTTTCGTTGTCGTTGGTAACGATCCCCGCTCGTAAGAAGAACAAATGACAGCGACGAAAAAGCCGCTAGCCGCTTAAATAAACCACGTGTATGGCGGTGGCATTTAGTGAAAGGGATATGTACATAACAGTTTGGACGAATTTTTACGGTGTTTCCACGATATTGAAACTACGGAAACATTGTAAATATTGGACAGTCTAGAATCTTACAAAAGCAAACAAACTCATTAACAGGATAGGAAACGTGATAACTATTCGTTTGCCAAATCGTTCTCCAATCATCGGCATTGCGCAGTCTCTTGGCTGGCACTACCATTATTTACGTCTTGCGGGAAATCACACTTTTTTGAATTTATTGCGCCAATTAGGAAAATGAGATTCAGACGATGCTACGATACCCGTATCTGTGGGCTGTTTTCCTGGCCTGAATTCTGGCAACTTGCGCTGCTTGATTTGCGACTATGAACCAATAATTAAGAGGCAGCCTGGAAACAATATACAATGCAAACCTGTTGACCAGCTCGATTACTTTTATCATTTCTAATAATTCGTAATTAGCATTGCCACAAGGCTTACGACTAGTAAAAGATATGATCGTGACATTTTACAGTGACATTTCCCTTGAGGTCGCTCAAATCGATATTTCTGAAAATACTGTGATATTATGCTATTATAGGGTATTTGAAATACACCCATCTGTGGTTATAATACCCTTTTCCCAATATCCTGCAATAGAGACCCAGCGGGGATATTCACACTTCAATGGAATAGACGTCTAGACAATCGCGTTCCTAAATAAGGCAAAGCCCTAGCAGGTGTTCGCGTTTAATATCGAGGTTGTATTTGAGTAAATAATATGGTTTCTGTGCAAAAAATGTGCGACAGTAATCCAGGCACCCAGCAGAAATGCAAGATAATATATGTTTAATGTTGCTTTCATTGCTGTTAATTATTTCATGAGGATAGGTACTCCAACAGCATACTCGGTTTCGTTTATGAAATATTTATTATTTTGCACTAATGGCTGTTCTTGAAAGAAAAGATGACAGGCTAGGATAAGACGTGATCCGTATCTTTCTCAAACGCTGTACATGCGTTAATTGCACCTATGATGCGAGGGATTACCAACGTCTGTCTTCCATACACGTCAGTGGTAACAAGCCGAGTCCTCTCTGTCAGGTACACATATCGAGATGCTTTGTTATATACCATTTCGCGCTTTCTGGTCTGGTCTCAAAATTGCCCAACGTCAATGAACGTCGTGCGAGATACCGGAAATCAATTGTGAACTCGTAACCTGACCCAACTTGAAGATTTTAGAAGATTTCAAAGAACTTTCTAGCCTGAGTAAAGTTCAGACTAGAAGATCATAGAAGGAAACTTATTTCTCGTACTTGTTACATACCTGTTAATTGATCTATTTTCCACGCTTTAATATGTTGTTTTCTCAAATAAACATGTGTGGGTGGGGCATGGGCTACTAACATCGTTGTCAACAGCTAGCAAAAGTGTGTGGGAGCAGACCAGTTGGCTCGCGCAGTCTGTGTTCTTACTATGATACAAGTGACGGCTGTCTACAATCTACTATGATCCGATGCCATTGCTTTTACGTTCTCCCCGTATGAACGCTAACTACGGATGCGTATGATTATATTCTTACAAAATAATACCATGTCACTGTCGACAGTGGAGCCACAGGTAAAACCGTTCACACAGGGTGTAATCACAGAGTTTGTATCTAGCAAACTGTTGCCAATTTACGCCTAGAACACTTCACATATGTTGTAGAGGTATCCTCAAAACATACGGACAAACGTAGTTGGCTATTTTATCGCATTGTGCCGTCAGTTGCTATACCATAAAACACCTGAAGTTTATCGTATTTGTATAATCTTAGCTAGGTATGACTATTAGACGAAACAGTTTACAAACTCCTGGCATTTCCAAAGGAACTGCCGAAAAAGGATATTTTTCTAGCTTTTGACCATTTAGTTACTCGTAGGTTTATATGTATGTACATCTCTACCGTTTGACTTACAGAGTAAATGGTAGTTGTCATATCTGTATCAAGGTCAGTGAAGCTGATAATGCCGTTTGTCACCTATAATCTGCCTGATGTTGCTGCTATTGCTCTTATCGAACCGTGGCCGACAAGACACAGAACTGTTTAGTGATAACAGAAGAATGAACCTTTCAGAACAGCTGAGAGAGAAAACAACATCAGAAACAAATATACGACAAACCGACATTACCAAGAAACCGCTCTATCAAGCAATAGATTGCCGCTGGCTTGCATACGCAATGACGACAGGTCTGTGAATCATTGACATATTTAAAAAAATTCAACATTTCAGACGACTCGTCCTCGTTTAGTATTCAGAACGAATAGCTAGAGAAGAACAAACACGCAGCTTGTGTGCAGTATCGTCACACTCGCACGATTTTTCCATTTGTTGATTATTAAGCACGGCGTAATAACATTATTCGAACCATACACGTTATAACATAAGTAACTTAGACTGCTGTTAACGAGCAGACTCGAGTAAGGCTGAGCCGATCTATCTATTTTCCCCGAATTGAAAGCACATAATCTGCTAAGCGTAATATATTACTGTAGCACACGTTTAGCCTTAACATCGTTCTCTATTGTAGCGTTTACTTTACTATGAAACACGGTGGTACTTAATACCTTTGAAAAGCAATGCGAACTTTTATAGGTTTATGGCACCATATTAAGAAGCATATTTGCTTCTACCAGGTTTCTCTAATATGCCATATACGTTTTATATTTAGATTAGATACACCTAACTAGAGTAGTCGCTCAATATTTGCCCTGATAATCATAATAATCGATGCCGGCGTTAGAACGTTTCACATTTATGTGGAACAATCAAGAATTGCAATTGCGTTTCCTTTACTGCAAATCTATATTCTTGTGTTACTCAATCTGAATGATATAGGTGGGGTATTGGGGTAGAGCAGAAGGAATATCCGTCGCTGTGCGATTCCCTTTTCTTCAATGCCTTTTCCGCTGATAGCCCTGGAAAGTTTTGTTCGTCCTCTAAGATCACTTGTATTACGTTTTATTCAGATCAGAAATAGTGTACTTTACATTACTCTAGAATAATGAGTGTATCGGTTGGCAAAAAGTACAATTTTCAACACTTACACATTTGTCCACATGTTGAAAAGCTGCGGAAGCAACCCTTAATACTTATTTTGCATAGGATGAGAGCTAAGCGATGTAGGCCTATCTAGGAGACCAATCTTCCTTCAAAAATAATCCCAGGCGGTCAGCGGCAGACTCGAAGCGTTCAATGTATTGTAGTCTTAAGGTTGAAAATGTGATTTTTTTTAATCTCGCAATCTCATTTCAAAACTACTACTCTCAGCTAGAACCCTTATTGCATACACCACATTGACTTGTATGACTTTTAACGTCAATGACACCATCAAAAAATAGTATATAAATTGCTGTTTTTTTAGCGTCTACGATACCAATTTTTGAAGTCCGAATGCCTACGGAAACGGGAAAAAAAAGACATACAACAAGCTTAATTAGAAATAAAAGGAAACGAATATCGGCTATTACACATACACCAGCCTAAAACACCTAACTCGACATAGAGATTTCATAGGTGTAATCCTTTAGCGCCTTCTTTTATCGTCGCTATGCGGCGGTTAGAATCGCAGATAAATGAATATGAACACTTAATTGTCGTAGTCACAGCCTTGAAAGCAATACAGAAACACAGTCCTGGTTACGTAGCTGGGTTAACTGGTTGTTAACCCATTGCCATGTTAGCGCCGACAGACAAGCCTTGCTTAGATTTCAAAATTAACTTCCAAGCCTCATTTAAGGACAGCATTTATGACTGCGCTAAAATAAAAAAGATATTTCTTCATTAATATTAAATAAATATTGGAATTGAAGGAAATCGCATAGGGCCTGAGCTAATGTGCAAAAGGTAAACGCTGTGTCGGATTGTTTTCCATTGTTAAATTCACTCAATCAAACCCTATGTGATACACGTTAAATAGCTAGTTTACGAGCCTGATGTCATAAAATTTAGGTCTTTTTTTTACAACGTCTTCTGCCGAAGTTAAAATTTGGAATTGAGCGACACGTGTAATCAAGGTACAATAGCTAAAGGAACTAAAACGATCAACAGTGGCTAGTCTTACAAAAAATGCTATTCTCGACTTAAGGAATATATTTTGTTGGACCTTTCAAAGTCTCACTTGCGAACGAATAGAGCGATCACAACACGCGGAACAAGCATTGTGAGCTGCCTTCGCAGTATCTCGACATGCCGTTCTTTGTCACGTAACAAATCATTTTGGAAATTCAAATTTAACAAAAATCTTCTGATCTAAACACAACGATAATCAAGCATCGGAAAAGGTGTTATAGGTTACAACACTTGACCATTAGCTAGTTAGTAACTAAGCGATAGACATTGCTCATACACTAATCGATAGAGAAGAGCAACATGGAATCGGAGGAGGAAACCTTTCTATCGAAATGAACAGAGATTATAGATGTAAAGCTGGGTACAGAGCAAAGATGCTTATCAGTAGGTAATGTCTTGCATTCACTGATGGTGGCGCCGCAATCTTTCTGTGAGAGCTTCCCCATTAAACACAGCATGGCTTTTACAGGATATATAAAACGAAAATTGCGCAAAGGCAAATGCTGTCATTGCACTTCCTCTGGCCTGATTCACAAACTTATAAAGGTTCTATCAGCTTCTTAGGATTTAGAGTCTCGTCGACGGAACAAGACCTGCATCGCCCAGACGTCGTAAGGCAGGAGCTGCTTGTCTGCCTAAATAACCAGCGACAAGTTTGTGTTCCTTTAACTGTTGTGTTGTATCAATCTATTTTCGATAGTTGAAAAATCCACAACACATGTACATTTCGCATCTATACAGAGTCGATGAAACGTCGCTTTCACATGTGTGATACATAGACCTATACTATATGTCGAGTATCGTTTACGAAAAGCAATTAGTTTATAACGTTTAAAGCGGAACACACGAAAGATGATCGAGTTTTCTTGTGAACGATAGTTGTTTCTAAAGATCTCGCTAAGAGCTTCTTCAGCATGTTAATCTTGTGCCGAAAGCCCTAGTTAAGTTTGCCTTTCGGCAGACGAGAGGAAATTACTAAGCAGATATATTCTTTCTTTTTTACCCTTGCTGCAACTAATATTTGTTACTTCACTGGACGACAGAACGCGTTTGCTTGGAGCGTGACAGATATAGGTGGATGTGGCAAAGAAACATTTAGTTAGAGTCATACCAAACTAAAAAAATGTGTGATGAATTTTTGTGTGATTTTACAAATGCTATAAATGTACTATAATTTGTAGCAGATGTCCTTCAAGAGACTGATGCCCGAAACGTTTATTATACTATTGCCTAGTGTTTCAATGTTTTTTCTTATAAATACAGGTTTGAGCTTATCTAGCAGAACCTAGCAGAATCGACCAATAACGGCTATTGTAGTTGTATATTGTGGGAAAGCTTTTTAATCGAGACTTTGGCATTACAGCGGATCATTATTAGGAATCTCGTAAGAGGGCAATACTTATTGTAGAAGACAGAGTACTTGATTTAATCTAGAGATAGCATTTGACCTTGTTTTCATTTCTTTGAAATCAGAAAAGTCTTCAGATCTAGTCGTACTGCACTGACGGATCACAATGCATAGAATACATCGTGCAATATCTCCATCGAAGTTTGCTATCGTCAACTACTAGGTCCTTCAATATTGATCCGAAATTGAACTGAAAAGTATATTTATTTGAGACTGACTAGTAGTTTTTTTTAATACCGATTATACGGGGCTTTTTATCGTTGTTCATTTCTCCCTTATGAATCGTTTCATCGTCATCTAGGAAATTGAGGGGCGACGCATATTCCCAGTATGGTAATTCGCTTCATTAATTTCAGCTAGCTCAAACAAGCATCCCGTCAAATGTACCCTGACCGAATTGTACCGTTTTACGTTCCAATGAGATTGTTTAGTGCCAGTGGCACTGCACAAGTATAGTCCATCAAATGCACAAACCTCGATCTGCCCGTTGTGAGTAACTCACCCAGTCACGAACGCGCTCCAGCGTAATCTTTTTGGGTCACAGTAATTACCGTCGAGTTCATCCCTTTTAGTCACGTTGGTAGAGTTCATTCATATTACCTAATCCAGTACTTTGGTGTTGCTTCTCTTCAAAGCGGATGGACTATAAAAAAAAATATAGCCTAGCTGTGAATTTACTTTCGCCTTTTCTGAGCCTTAAAACAGCTCAAATATCGTCTTCACGATGATACAATCCTCTTCTCTGTCCGTGCAGTAAAATACGTTTGGCTTATTGCTTCTTGCAAAAGTGTAAAATCATAAAGACCCTCGTCGGAAATCACCTGAGTGAAATATGCATCGAACAATGAAGTTTGATAACGCTACTGAATGATAGAAAATTCAGGATTTCGTATCATGGTTTTAAAAAATTATTACGCGAACGATGACTATTCGAGATTCATTACTCGGTTTGATCTTCGACTTTGCATTTATAAGCGTGATTGTTGAAAAAGATATATCTTGGCCATTTTCTGAAACTAAATACATACTTACCTCTCAAACAATACGGTCACAAAGTATGGCGCTGATTCGGTTGAAACGCCATTATTTTTCTCTGCCTATGGGAAGACCAGTATTATAGGGCCTAATTTAAGTTTCCCTTTGCAAGTCAGTCATCGTATGTGCGTCAAAAGCCCAAAGTGCATATGGCTGCAAGAAAGCGCCACGGAGAATCGTGGTCATATATGAGGCTGAAGGAACTGCATCACCTTGAATGCTCGATTTTGTTGCCAATTTATAGTAGTAGTACTTCCCGAATAATATTCCTACTTTCGAGATAGTCTGCTGTTATAACAAGAGCATTTTTAGACAATATGCAAGTATGTAAGCTAGCTTTCTGTCTTTCTATAGCATTCGCAACGACGATTTGTTGTCTTTGCAACACACCATCATTCTCCCATTAGTAAAAGCACATTGAGTGACATATATGTCCATAGACGGATCAGAATGCCTGCGAGTGTCCTTGTTAATTGTGTATATATGATTATAGGGCTCTGCTGTACTTACATTCTTTTTTATGACGTGACTGTACTCGATGTTCGAAGTATCGTCATGACTTGCTCGAGCCTGATCGACGACCAGCGGACCGGATATTGCACTCATCGCCAGTGACTGAATAATGAGAGAGGTTACCAGATTAAGGTGTACCTTTGTACGACTGCATTTCAATGTTCTGAAACAAAAGCAATAAGCAAATGTAAATCTAACGTAATGTACTTGTGTAGTTATTTTGTCGCTGTTATTTAACCGGGTTCATGTTTCGCCAGCCAATGCTCGATGGAGCTACTATAAACTTGTTCGATTGTTTCTTTGGCCGACATTCGGTCTAAAACGCCTCACGATTTTCTGCTCTCAGGTCCACTTGGGACGAAATACCACTACGACGCCTGTAAGGTGGATGCATTTGGCTTCATAGGTACGAAGCCGCTATGTCTGGCTAACGGCTATCAAATACTAATAGGTGACCATAATGTAACGCACATGTATAAGATGGCGAACGCATTATACTATGAACCTATAATATATATACGTAGACTATGGTAATCAGAAGACTTAACATAGTGAGGCTGTTCAAAGGAATAAATCAAGGTCGCTTTGAGCCATCGGACTTCCGCTTAACGTTCCCGAGAGCGCACGCAGATCCGCTCGATTAAAGGATTACCCTCTAACGTTGTTACTGAACCTCGACCTTAAAAAAATTTTAATTGATTTTCGACAACCAATCATCAACCGTAGAATCATATGGATGGACTATGTTGACTGGAACTCGGACATGAACTGTAATGTAAGAGCACCTACCTTTCAGTGATCATTGTCTGCGTATACATAGAGGTATTATTTAGCATCAGTAACGTTCTAAAACCAGGAGGTTTATGATTTCGGAATTATTAAAAGTCGCCAATTTTGGCTATTTATTCCAAGTGTTTAGTTGTCTGGCCCGCGTAGTCTGAATTAAACTCACCTGAAGTAGACATATATGAAGGCCGACGCCATCAGAAAGACGACCGAGATCAAAGAAAATATCAATATCAGGTATGTGGTTGCCAACGGCACCAGGCTATACGGTATCTCCTTTGGCTGAAAGGTCAACTCGATAGACACAAAAAGTTGCAAACGTGAGATAGTATAAATCGTATTGCTCTTGTCGTTGTTATGTTTCCATATTATTACACTCCGTAAAAGTAGAAGTAGAAGAAAGTGGGCTAAAATCAGAGCGGATTGGGCTGAAACACTGCAGTTATCTTTTTCAACTTTTTTTGATATCGAGTTATTGCCAGGAGCTCCATAATATCATTAGGTAAAATAGGGTTGGAATCAGAAAGTCATCTTCAAGTTTACGTACATTTGCTTTTCGTGTTGGCCATAAATTATTTTGTTTGACCGTTATCAACCGGCCATCGAGAAATATATCGTAATGGCAGCTGAAGCACATGCTCTTCTAGTTTGCGGCGGTGTACATACTTTGGTTAACATATTTTTTTAAAGAACTATGTCTAAAAGATGACTTTAAGGTAAGGTAACTAAATAATTAGAACGAGTGTTCCAGCCTGTTTCGTATATCTCGTAGTCATCACCACACGTCACTACGGACATCAGTATTGTTGTTATCAATCTGTGTTGTTGTCTACGCCATCAATGAATCAGAAAATAGCAGATGTAGACTTCTTTTAGCATTTATAATTTGTAGTTATATAATAAAAAGTCCGAAAGTGCTTGCCATTCTGCTCCTTAACACATGAATTAATAAAGCTCTAGAGAGAAGTAAGGCTAGGAATTCATTTTTGACTTCAATTTATAATACGTACTGGATGATAATTTACTTTTTCGGTATCGATCGTTTATTTGTATCGTCCAACAACCGCATGATAGCTAAATGACACCCCAAATATGCGTCAATTTGAATAATAGGCCCTCAAATAGATTTAAAGTACGAGTCTACAGATGTTGAAAATATGATCGTATATCGAGTTTGTTATCTATGTATCATTCTTAAGCTATTTCATAGTGGGTTCTCTCTAACTAGATTGCATCACCTTTGTGCAAAACGAAAACGTGTGGCCTAACTCAGTGCTAGCCTTTCCCGTTTGCACCTTCTAGCTATCTATGATTTCTATGATGTACTTGCACTCGATTCTAAAATTTTGCTAAACAACTTAAAACCCAGACCTTTTGCCAATGTTCACTTGGTAGTAGACTTCGGGGATGCCCATTTTGCTTGCTCGATATTCCAGCTGTAGTTGATCAAATGTTACATTGTCCATATCTGACACGTAACAATTATTTAAATGCGGCTAACTAGGATGACCGGCTCTGTCTGTTTTTTTAGTGGTGACTATGCGCCGAATAGTGTTAAGTTTATCTAGTACTCACTTCCAGTTGGTTTCTAACCGACCGACACTTCTAGACTCGAAATAATCATATATAATTCAATTTTATTTTTTGTTTAAATTGTCCTTTACCCAGGCCGCACAATTAATTAACTCCCTCTTTCTACGTTTTTTTTTTTTGTATCAAATGACCCTGTATGTAATTTAAATGAATATAAAATATCTTTCTGAGACTGTTACCTACGTGGGCATCAATGTGGATGAATACACACAGATAATAGCACGCTATGCTCTTTAATGTATTTTGTTATGAGTTGTTCGAATATTAGGGTAAATTCGATTAACACATAGTACGGCCAGAATGCGAAAAATAGCGTATAAACACGTACCCGTTACGACAAACAGCCTGACAAGCTTTCCCCGATATGAACGTTTTAAGCCTTGCTGAAACTGGACTGCTAAGAACCAATGAAAACACGTCGGACAAGAACGTACAGCTGCAATCGAGGAGACTTTTCACAATAGTAGAGATCACATGTGATGTGTCACATGAATGTATAGACCGAATACTGAAAACGCGGAAATAGAGCAGAAAATCACAGGGCCTCTCGTCAGAGGCCCGTTAACTTCAGGCCAGTTGGAAATTTGCGGAATTTTAATCAACAAAAAACTAAGAGCATACGATCGTCAAAGACTAGGCAAGGTCCATTCTCGAGAGCCAGCTAGAGAAAGACCAACCGAGAACATGACGTCAGCTTAGGGAGGAATCGAGTTCAGTGGCAATGTCGAGTACACTTAGACGTAAGGGTGAAATAATTCTTGCAATGGATATCAGTGGCGCCTAATACTGTGAGATGCTCGCCGAAAATCAAACGATGAATGCAGCCTACTATTTCAGGTCCCTCAAAAAGCTCGTAGACTGTCGGTACGGATATCGAAAGCGTTCAGTCTGGTTACTTTGTGTTAATGCCAGACGTCATCGCCATGCCTTAACCATTTGTTAGATCGAGCCAAAAAATATCCAATATTGGCTTCAGTCCGCTTCTTCTACAGATCTAAGCCTGTAACAATCAGCAATTTTACCGCCGAGCGCATGCCAACGGTAAAAACTGCACGATCATTATCATTATTATTGACTAAGGCAAGGTTACTGTATGTAGTATTGGAATTAATATCAGTGAGAGAACAAGGTTCAGGCGTACATCACAAACACCATTTCGCAATGTGTCTACCCATGTGTATCTAATTCTATAGTCAGTCGTGTCAGAAGAACATTTTTCGCTCCTTTACGGATTAGCGAACCTAAACTAACTTGGAAATCTATACTCCTTTTTGTTTCAAGCTCCTTAGCTACCTACAACGTATTAGACTAAAAAGCACCAATTCCTAGAGACCAAAAATTGCTAATACACTGCCAGGCACGAAGTTAATCTCCATATTCAGATATATCATTTCCGTCACCTATTTTCTCCTACACGGCTTTTCTGTCCCGTTTGCTTTGCTTAACTGCCATCTGTTGAAGCGCCGTCAGTCCAGCTCTTAGGATTGAATTTCCTGCAGACGGGATAATCACGCAGGATCGTGAAATCCTTCAATGATGCAGATGGACGAAGGCTTTTCTTTTTCCAAACCTAACCTGTATACAATCATCACGATGGTGATTTCTTCGCAGTCATATTTGTCCGTACACTATATAACCAGCACCCTCCAAGAATCATCATGCACTCATTGTTAGACCTCTGTGGAACACTAAGAAGGAGTCTTTATTTATTAGAGGATATAGCAGAAATGTTTTATGTAAAAAACAAAAAAAGAAAAGGGTGATACTTCATGTTGCGGTCGTGCTGACCGCTCTGATTTCTTAATGCTATGTTTTTTTTTCTAAATATTTTCCATACTTAAACAGCTTAGGCGTGTCGCTAATTGTTCCAGCAACTAATTTAAACATCACAAGGAACAGTATAATTCGATCTGTATAGTAAAATGGAGCTGAGGAAATGATTATCGTATGGCTAACAAGTAATCGATCAAATCACATCAGTGGCTAATCTATGATCCATCATTGAAAAAGGGAAAGATATTGCTGTATCTTCAATGATACTGTTGGCGTTCGTTAGGATTTTACCATGATTTTAGCTGCTTGCAAGTCAAAAGAAAAGGACACCCACTGCACAAAACCCAATATGAAATATATGGTAGAGCATGAAATAAATAAGGAATATTGCCGAAACCGCAGTGTACGTAAGATGCCTGAGTGTGTTTCCAATAAAGGTATAGGTTTAACCTTCAGTCTCGTTATAACGTACTCCTTGTTATACCTAAATTCCAATATGGATAGAAGTTCTCAGAGTACATGATCGATCACAAGTGCCTCCAGTTATTCCTTCGGAAAACTCTCGGTTAGTTCATCAGTATAACCTCCGGGAGAGAAGAGTCACTGCGTTTCCAATAGGGCAACCTTTCATCTTTCCCACAAGGCAGAAAAAGCAATTTAAACTGAATTGCCTCCAGGATTTATCGAGAAGCAAACAATTGCCAAATATCGCCTGTTCTACAAAAACGAGATTTATTTGATATTCTTTTCCCTGTTATCTTAACTATTAGAATAGAAGGGCGGGAAAAGTCCAACGATGTGTTTTTTTTTTAAATTTTTCATTGTCAGTACAGCCTGATAACGTTTCTGTTGAAGAGAATAGGATACCGTTCTTAAATCACGAATTTGAATCATGATGCTAGCAAATTTCATCTGCAACTGAGCATAGCCACCGGCAACACTATTAAAAACAGACCTGTGCCTTTAAATTCGAAGATTCACATTTTAAACACGCCTCTAAAGAAGCGTGTTTAAAATGTGAATCTTAGAATTGCGGACTCTGAATCAGTAACGAACAGGTGGAAAACAGGCCTATCTATGACTCGGAGGTCAGTTGTCATGAACATGAGTTTTTAATAGTGGTTATTGTTAAACGTAAGTGAACGCTACCATGTAGCTAAGTTTCTTGGTGGAACTTAACGGCACGTTACATAATGAAGTATTTATAAACAGAAGAACGAATAATTATATATATTAGCCTAAGCTAGGCAAAGAATATTACGCATTTTGACAAATTGGGTCAATTTGACAAATTGTTAGCCTTGCTAGAAAGGTGCAAGCCTGAAAATTATTTGTAGCAGACAACCAGGCCACCTCATATTCTGGCTTAATATTTCATCGAGTTGCGGCTAGCAAAAATAATTTTTGTACCCCATAATAACGGTTCGTGTGCGTACTCCCCGCATCCGTCGCCGCAAACTCTGCCACTGACCGAAAAATTATGGTTATTATTTAGCCTGTATGTTTGTATTTTAGCTGTTTACTTGCGAACCGAGTTATCGTTGCGCACGTGACAATTTGAAGAAAGCTGCGCTTTCTCCAATGAAGCAGAAAACTGTCGTTTTATGTTATTTATTGTCGTTTCCGGCATCTGTTGATTATTGTCTAAGAACATATTCTGCAGCATATCTATAGTAAAAATGTAACGGTGTTACTAGAAAGTAACGATAACAAGCTGCGGACCAAACCGTAAGGAGGAACACAACACAAACTTGAAGACAGTGCTACAAGTAAAAATAGATACAAAAAAACAAGTAGGTTACGTTACCATGGGACCCAGTGTCGGGTACGTATGGAACATAAGCCATGCTGGCGAGAGCGCATGTGGTAAGGCGAAATCAACATGGCCGCATAGCTATCCCTACTGGCATGATAAC